GGTCCCTACGTAGGCATTCAGCCAGGTTGACGGCGGGGTTTCTGAGGCACCCGGCATGGCCCCCCAGGTGGGAAGTCGCGCGTTGGTAAATAATGGTCCCCGAGAGTTGGGGGGTGGTGATGATCCTTTCCCAGGAAGGTGATGCCCTGGGTCCCTGCCGTAAAGTACCTTTTTGAAAGGAAGCGCCCCCCCCCCCCAGGGATTCGGGGCCGGGCTTTGGTGAACAGGCGTGATTACCTATTCACGTAAGTATGCAGGTATCCATCGATGGTCTTCTCAGCCGGTCCGCCACCATGGGCAATTCCGCCTTCCAGGTGTTTGTTCTGGGCCGATCGAAGGGGGGGGCAATGACAAACGTCACTACGTACTTGCCCTGAGGCAGGTGCAGTCTAGTGCACCGTGCAGGAATCGGTACAGGGCAGGCCACAGGCTCACAGAATCAGAATGCCTCCAGTCGAGTAACCGTGTGGGGCCTTTCAAATGCCTTTCAGCCGCCGCCGACCTCAGGCGCGTAGCGTTGCCCCCTGGTCCCTGTGACCTTTTGGGACCAACTGCCGCGAGAAGCTTATCAATGTGCCAGACAATATCCGATCCTGCAGCAGGTACACCTCCTGTACGTGGTTCGCTCACAATCTAGTTAGTAAGGATGCCAGCTCTCGCCGTGACCATGAAGCCATGTAGGAAGCCGACACATCTCTCCTTGCAGCTGATGTGCGGCATAGCGCGCAGCCCATGAGGCACATGAGGCAAGATATCAATAGATGCCACTGAACAGGATTGGTTTCAGGAGGAGATTCGTGCCGTCGAGTGAACCACGCTTGTTATTGTTAGTCCATGCTGCACAACAAGCTTGTTTGACCTTTTTCTTTTCCTCGCCTATGATACAGTGCCACCAGGGGCAATTAAAAGACCAAAAAGGCTCCTGACGGAGATCCAACCAGCCCCTGTCCCGCGCAGCCATGGTGCCATCCTCGGCAGTATTGCGCCCACGATGGATTACCCCTCCTTGACACCAAACACGGACACGACGCCCTCTCCGTTGACGGAGACGAGCTGCCTCGCCTTGTCGCCCCACCGGACGGCCACGGCTGTGACGGAGCTGCGGAACGGCTCCGACCACGACTTGGAGCTCTTGGTGTACTGCTGCACCGTGATACCGCTGGCGCCGGCTGTGGCGAGGAACTGGCCCGAGTAGTCCCAGGCGAGCGACTGCACCGAGCCGCCCGTCTCGAGAACCTTGGCCTTGGCCGCCTCGCCCTCCTTTCGCAGGTCGAAGATGGTCACAGAGCTCTGGCCCTTGGCCGTCGCGGCGACCCAGAAACCGTTCTCGGAAAAGGCAAGCGCCTGGATGGGGGCGCCGAGGGAGAAGGACGCCGCAACGTCGAGCGTGGCTGTCATGAAGAGCTTGAGATCGCCGGTGGCCGTGCCGGCGGCGAAAATGTGGCCATCCGGGTGGAAAGCGCAGCATGTGAGAGCTGGCGGGGTGGGGGGGGGCTTGTCAGTACGGAAGCAGTAACGCCCAAGGGGATAGCCAAACGTACCGGCATCGCCGTAGGTGCGGCTAACACGCGACATGGTCGACAGGTCGTAGAAGACAATACTCTTGTCCTGACCGACGAAGGCGAGCAGGTCGCCGAGAGGGTGCAGCGCAAGGGCCGTGACAGCACCGGCGTTCTCGGCCAGCGAGGCGATCTCGCTGCCGCTCTCAAAGACCTTGACGGTGCCTTGCGTCGTCGAGAAGATGAGCTTGCTGCCCGTCCAGACGGTGTCGGTGATTGGCTGGCCGACCTGGACATGTCGCTCCAGCTTGTCAGAGTCGATCGCGTAGATAGCGGCATTGCCTTCGGGTCCTGCGATGGCAGCATAGTCGCCCTCGAGGGCGAGCGAAGAGGTGTGGGGGACGGGCAGCGTCGTGGAGGCCGTGGTCTGGAAGGCCGCAAGTTCCTCGGGCGTCGCCCAGCCTTCGGGCACGGGGCGCTTCTTGCGCGACTTGGAGAGCCTGGATTGGTGTTTGTTGTCAGTGTGTGATGGCAGGCAGATTGACAGAAATGTGCGTACTCTTGGTGCTTCGCTGCCACCCTCTCGGCAACCTCCTCCGGAAGCGTCTCGACCGAATCGACGGCCATCGCATCGCCATTGGCGGCGCCACCCGTGACAGTAACCCTCGAGAGAGCGTCCCTCGCCTCGTCCCTCTCCCTCGTCAGCCGCGCGATGACGCGAACCGCAGCATCGTGTTGGTACAGAGCCGTCGCGAGCTCCTCACGGGTGCGGGCCAGCTGCTCCTTCAGGTTGTACGTCTCGAGCGCCAGCGCATCCCACTCGTTCTGGAAGGTCGCGAGGAGGGCGGGGATCGATGTCAGGGTCGGGGGTCGTGGCCGGACGATGTGCGACTGGGAGAGGGGGAGGAGGTCGTCGGTCGTCAGGACTTCGCCGGTTCCGGGCTCGGTGCCATTCTCCGTGATGTACTTTTCGATGAGGCGCTTCTCGAACACGGCGCCTTGGCCAAGGTTAGCGAGGGTTGAACATCCAGGCGGTGACGGGGTCAGACTGTACCAGACTTCCTCGAGGCGACAGGCTCCTGGGGAGTCTCTCCCGAGACTAGTCATCCATTGGTTAGCGACGCGTTTGAGCGCATAGTGGTGTTCCCGAGCAGACATACTTCCACACAACATGCTGATTGTGCTTCTATCCTTTTTGGCGATTGATCGATGTGCAATGGGAATGGAGACGATTCGTTGTGAAAAAGGTAGGCAAGGCGCAGGGCGTGGCGGATGCAATTGCGACTGTCCAATGTGCTAACGAGCCAGCAACTCGCTTTTCGAAAACAAATCGTCAGCCTCGCACGTCGAACAGAAAGCTTGCAGGGGCAGCGAGATGCGGCTCCACCAGAGCCAAAGGCGGCCAATGGACGGCACGGGCCATTCGATTCACGTGAGGAGGAAGGAGAAGGACGGGACGTCGCACACTCTAGCACTCTAGTCTCTTATCGACAGTATCGTCCCAGCTCTTATCAGTGACGCCAAATGGCGGGATGCGCCGATGCGCCGATGGAGAACGAGGGGGACCAGGCCGAGGACCACACCGCAGGCGAGATAAGACTTTCATAAACACACTCTTGCCCCCTCTTCATGGTGCCTCTCCTCGCCTCTCCTCCTTCTTGTCAGTGTCCGTGTACCTAGGTTGATGAGCGATCCTCACAAAACCATGGCGCCTATCACGATACCAGACATCACGGCGTTGCCTCGCCTCACAACGAAAGAGCAGACAGAGGTCCTCGATCTCCTTTTCGAGCCGTCCCCCGCCCTGCACGCCCTCCTCGTCCCCGCGCTATCCACAACGACATATCAGTCGTACGACGAGCTCGTCAACATCGCTCACTCGATTCTGTCGGACCTCGCCTCGGCTTCTCAGACAGCCCCCGAGCAGCGTGCCGCTCTCCACGCCATTCTCGGCTCTCACCCCCGCCTCGGTGCGAAAAAGGTCGACAGCGCCCAGTCGGTGGCGGAGCAGGCGAAGCTCCAGGGCAGCGAGGCAGAGGCCGCCCAGCTCGCCGCGCTGAATGCCGAGTACGAGGACAAGTTCCCGGGGCTGCGTTACGTCGTCTTCGTCAACGGACGCGGCCGGCCTGCGATCATGCAAGACATGAGGCGGCGCATCGACCGCGGGGACATTACGCTCGAGGAGCAGGCGGCCCTACAGGTTTGTTTCTCATGCTCGGTGGGGGGAAAGGGGGGGATTTTGTCTAGTTTTGCTGACATGCTGCCAGGCCATGTGTGACATTGCCAAGGACCGCGCCGCTAAGCTTTCGGCAGCCGCGTGAGCGTCGTGTCCGTCTTAAACTCATGACATACGCCTCACGGCAGTTCAAACACTCTGGGCAGCGAGACGAGGCAAGCAAACGCAAACGAGAAAAGACTTTGAATACACATCACTGCATAAAGAAGCCACGGCGGACCTTTCCAATGCTGTTAGCTACACATGAACGCCGCCAGAGATGCCTCTGCATGTTTTCCTATTTTGTTTGTCCGACCGAATGCCAAAAAGAGTTGTTGCCCAATGATTCCATGGAAAAACAGAGATGCTTTCGCGGGCCGCCTCGGTGGGGGGGGGCTTGGCCAATTCGTGTGTTTTTTCTTCTCTTTCCTTTCTGGCTCATTGGATCTGAGACCACTGAGGATGCAATGCAGGGTTGTTCGCCATGGTTTGCCGCAAGCCAAACGCCGTTCCTCTCATCGCCCAACCCACGATATGCCGTCCAGCTCGTCCAGGCACTCCTCGTACGAGTGCTCGTCGTCGTCCGAGAAGTCCCCCTCTCTCGGCCCGCCAAAGATGGCCCCAAAGTCAGAATATACATCGCCGGTATCCTCGTCGTCGTCGTCATCGGCCGAGCCGTACCGCCCCATGTCTTCGGGGAACGCCATCTCCTCGTCCTCGCCCACCTCCTCGGCACTGGCGTCCGTGGGCCCAGCACAGGCGAGCGACATTGTCTCGCCGCCGGCACCACGGTGCCTCGTCCGACGAGCGTGTCGACCGCGCGCAACGCCGACGGAATCGGCGTCCGCATCTGCCCGTGCGCCGACGACGCATCGTGGCCCCCGCCACCGCCCGCCCTGATCATGATGATCCTGTTGGCAGGTGGCCTCGCGCCCGGCTGCGCCGCTCCAGGCACCGAAACGGCGAGGAACCGCCCACCCGTGCCGGCCTGCTGCTCGCGCTGCATCCAGGCCGCCTGCGCCGCCGCCGTCGTCGTCATCGCCGTGACGGCCATGAAGACGTTGCTCCGCTCCGACACGACCTCGCCGCGCAGGCGCAGACGGACCCGGTTCATGACGGCGGCGCGGCCGCACGATGGAGCTTTGCGTGCTGGGACAGCGCTTGTTGGCGTCGGCCGAGGCGGCGAGCTTGATGAAACGCTTGTCGCCCGCAGCGACGGCGTCGCGGTTGATGATGTGCGTCGCCGGCTGCGAAAAGGGCTGCGACAGCCGGCTCGTGATAAAGCTGCGTCCGCAGTCGCCGCTTCTTGCAGCTGAGCTCGGCCGTGTGGGGGCCGTCGACGTCGCTGCGGGCTCGGCATCGTTTCGACAGCGGTCTAGCGCGCGGCGCCTGCTGCGACGCCGGAGGGAGGAAGTCAAAGTGCGCCGGGGGCGATGAGGGCTGGAACGAAAAGGCCGTAGTCGGCGGCAAAGGGTGGTCATCGAGTTTCAACGGGTCCTCGTCCAGTGAGATCTGAGATGAGGGCGGCGACGGCAGAGGCGACGGTTGCGAGGACGCTCGACCACCACCTGGTGCCGATGAGAAACTGGACAGCCCGCCGTTGGCTAATGTGGCGGCCTGGTTGTGTCGGTGTATCGTGCACATGGTGTCATGGCAGAGCTGCGGGAGCGGTGGTGACGGGGGCTCCATCTGGAAATCGAGGCTGCGAGCGTCGCGGACGTTGGTCAGCAGAGGCCACGGCTCCAGAGCGCCGAGCGAGCCATGGCCAAGCGGACCGCCAACGTCAACATCAGCCACCATGGTGTTGGCCGTACCGCAAGTCCGTCCGACTTGCTATGCTAGGAGGGAGAAGGAAAGGTCGACGCGGACGAGGGAGCACAGCGCTCGCACCGGCATATTTATTGCCTGATCGTAGAGGTGTTAGAACCAGGATCGGGACGGGACCTGTCGAATCGTCGTGGGAAAGGAGATCGTAGTGGCCGGCAAGCTAGCTGTACAGTTCCAGATCTCTTCTTCGGAATGGGATCCAGGCGGCGATCCTCAAGGAGGGCCTGGCCGCGAGATGCAAGACGCTAGATCGAGCAATCTTTGAGTTTCGTGACACCCGACTACTTGCAATCGTGGAGGTGTGGGAAGGGTGCAGCAAGTGCACTCCCCGCTCGGGTGGGTGCAGGCGACAGAGCAGCTGCTGTGGAGTTTTGTTGCTTGACAAGCCGACTGCGAGTATCAACCACCCCCCAAGAATATGGCTGTATGACGGTGTGACAACCCGTGCCGTCAAGTCCCCCAGTCTCCTTTCGTTCAACGTGGATCTTGTAGGTCTGATCTCTGTGTGCGTATGTGTGTGTGGGTGTGTGTGGTGACAGAGACTGTGTGCGAGAAGGTGGTGAGAGGTATGGATGGACGACGTAAGAGGGTGACAGTAGACGTAAGTACCATATGGCCTGCTCTTCCTAGACACCAGCAGCTCGCCAGTCACGCTCTCCCGCGCTCTCTCTGTCTCTCCTCCCACCCCAGACTCGATGTAAAGCCCATTTAAACAATCTATTTATTCACCCCCTCCCCTCGCTTTCCCCGGCCTTTTGCGCATGCACGAGGCCAGGTAGACAAGGGGGAGGGGGTGCGGGCCCTCGAGGCGAAAGGGAAGGGACGGTTCCGCCCCGTCGGTCGCGGTGATCTCCCATTTCTCGCCTCCCATCCTCTGCCTGCTTCCCCCCTCCCCTAAGCTGTGCTAGGCTAAGCGGCATCTCCAGGTGACAGGGGTGGTGCGCCAGCGCGCAGTGACGAGGCCTGGGGTAGGTGGCCGAGAGACGAATGGGAGGCTTCAAGGGATGCTCGTACCGCATATGCCCCCCTGGTCATGCTCTTCCCCCCCCCCCGGTCTGGGGTTGATGGGGGAAATGCAACCCAGAGAGGCCCCAGGACCCCCCTTCCCCCCAGGCGATGCACCAGAGTTCGTGGGTGTGTGTGTTTGGCCATGTCTTGGTCCGGGGCCGGGACACGGCCTGAGCAGCATGGAGAAAGAAACACACTTTTTGCAGGTTGCTTGCGAGTCTCACGAGGAAAGGGGGCACGTGTGAGGTTCGATCAAGAGCGGACTGGTTCGGAGCGATCCAAAGTCCCTCATCAAGGGTCCATGGACTAGATGGGTGTGTGCTGTCCACGAGTGAGTGGAGCTGATGCGGCATCACGCTGAAGAAGTCAAGGCCAGTCGACTGGGAAGAGCCTTCAAAGAAACGAGCAAACGGTGATGATTGTTGCCCTCTCAGCCAAGCATCGGCGACCACAGATGGGTCCTAGCACTTTGGGCTTCCCTTCGATGATCACTTTCTTTTTTGCCTCGATCGATGAAAAGAGCAAGACAGTGGCCCATCCCCTCGTTGGTCCAGCTCTCCATGCTGTCTGCCCACCCGGTGGTACGTTGCTAGCGTACGACAAAAAAGACTGATCATCAGAGACCTGAACTTGTCGCATGACTGTGGGAAGAGGCATGCAGCAGTAGCTTTTTGCTGGGGCGGTGCAGACCGGGACATGCTTGATAGGGGAGGGGGCGTGTGGTCCAGCCTCACCATTCCAGCACAGCAGCAGCAGCAGCAGCAGCAAGCATGGTGATAAAGGGAGGAGAAGAGAGAAAAGAAGAGGCCAGTCCAGTCAGTCAGCGTTTCAATCGCTCATTTCCATGTGGTAATCGAGGCAAAAACATTGCTTCTCCTGTGGTTTGCCCTGCCTGGTGTGAGTGGTCCCACGACATCGGGTCGTCCAGCATGATGCGCCACTCGCTGTTCACAATTGTGTCTCTCACCTCCAACCTTGCCTAGTCGGGAATGGGGAGAGCGGGGGGGGAGAGAGAGAGAGGCAGCAGGACAAGGTAAATCAGAGCACGCGTCTCGAGAGGCTGAGGTGGTCTCAGGAGAAAGTGCTGTTGTTGGTCGTGCAACCGAAAGAGAGAAGAGAGCGGCGCCCATGCACCAGTTTGATTCACTCTGGCTGCTAGCGGATGAATTGACTGCTGATCATTCAGTCGAACTCGACGCCCCACGTATTCGATAATCTTCAATCGTGATGTGATGGGAGGGTCGAGAACCAACTAGTCAAAACGACGACAATGGGCTTGCCTGTTACTTAGGGTGTGCTGCCGGGCAGTCAGTCTGCCATTGCGATCGTCCCTTTCTCAAGCCATCGCGCTCGCCACTAGCGATTTGCGAGGCTTGCTACCCCCTCGGGCATTGACGCGGCCGACTCCGAGCCGCTCAGCATCAGCAGCAGCATCATGGCCACAACAGACGAGGCGGCGAAGGAATCAGAGTCCGTAAGAAGAAGCTCGATGCCATGTCATCCATCCCCAGGTCCTCCCATCCATGGTGAGAAGTGGTGAGCGAGAGGCTGGGCTGGCATGGACGCCTAACCAATCGCCAGCTCGTTCGTACGTCGCGCGTGACCCTGCGGAGTTTTTTCCCGCTGGCCCTCCCCATTCCTCTCAAAGTCTCGGTTGGAAACAGGCTGCATTTCCACCTGCAGCAGGGAGTAAGAGGCGTCTGTCTCCAAGGTACCTACTGCAAAGGGTAGGGCCACGGGCTGCTGTCAGGCTAGGCCTTGTTCTGGTGTGACCTCTCTCACATCTCACATCAATCTCTCTCCGTGTCCATCACCCCCCAGTAAGCCACGGCCATCTCCTCACTGCAACCTCGCCGGCGGGCGCCGCGGGCCTGCAGCAGGTAGACTTGGCCCGCCTTTCAGCTGGGGGAACAACTCCAGCTCATTGGGATGCGAAGCCTCGAAGGCTCTTTTCGAAGCCCGGATACACTCGGCTTCGAAGCGGCGAGCGGGGTAGGGTTTCCGTGTCGTCCAGGAGGTTGCAGGGCAAGCGAGGATGCATCAAGACTCCTTGCTTGGTTGGTCTGCGTGGCTTCTTGGCAACCGTGGATTTGGAAGAGCGCACGAATTGCGAAACTCGGATGGGCCAAGTTGCTCCTACTTGGTTTGTGGAAGCCTCCGTGGTACACGCAGCTGGCGAAGCGCTGTGGTGGAGAAGGAGGAACGGCGGCAGTCGTTGATCTGTCGAGGCTGGACCGATTTGGCCTTCCCGCCAGACCACCCGGGACGGTGCGCTGTGCACAGTCTCCCTTACGGGCCTTACGGGGGCGCTAATGCGCTGACTGATGTTGTCCCAATGACAATTGGGCTGGAGAGGGGGGGGGGGGGCGTCCCTTAGGGTACCTCCGATGGATTGGGTTTCTGCCGCAAGGTACATCCGCTCCCCAGAACCAGGTAGCGCGCGCACACCACACCCAGACACCTCCCCGCCGACAGGTAGCATCACGACACTAAAAGCACATCATTCAACGAACCCCCAGCCTGGAGTCGCATGTCTCGCACTTGCGGTGAAAATTAATAAAACAACTACCAGGACCGCCCTACTACGGGGACCTCGGACCCCCGCCTGACGTCCCCAAACGCCACCCAGATCGTCGACGCCTCGACGCCCTGACGCCCCAGCAGTCAAACAACGACCCTGACAGCAGCCCTCGACATGCCCGAACCTAAGATCAACGCCAAGTCACTCTCCTACTCGTCCGACCTCCCACCCTTCCTCCGCGCCCTCCACGCCCAATCTCGGGGGGACGCATCTGCCGGGCCAGACCCCATTCTCGCCGGCAGGCGGCGCGCCATCAAGAAACGGTCCGCCAGCGAGGAGGCAGAGGACCAGCCCCTGGTCGTGGACGAAAACGGCAACGTCGTGACCATCAACGACGACAATAACGACGATGACGGGCTGAACAAGGACTCACAAGTACCTGACGATGCGTCAACAGCGGTGGCAAAGATGCCGAGACAGCGGCAGAGCGGGAAGAAGGAAAAGGTGGCCGGCATCGGCGCCGGGAGGAAACGTAAAGTGGGCAAGATCGTGGGCCGCAGATGACGAGAAAAAAGACAATGGCGTGCCCGCGAGAAAAGACGAGCTGGACGTAGAAGACCCCGCGCGGAGCAAGTCCGCAGCCAAAGACAAGCCGAAGAAAAAGGCGAGGAAGATCAAGCTAAGCTTCGATCCGGAGTAAGGCCACTTTTGAGACATGCGCCCCAGCACAAGAGGCCGGGGGGCTGATGGCCTCAGCATGTCGTTGCTTTCTTTTAATTATCCTGGTGAAGCCGTAGATGAAGCTCGCGAGCGACAACCCGGATATCGCGGCTCTGCCTCGAACAAAACCCCCCCAAAAATCTAGAGCGTAAAGCAAATGAAGCCGACAACCATAGTCACACACGGCGATGACGCGATTCGTGGCTTGCAACGGCGCGCAGTCTGGCGGCAATTCGCAAATCGGTGGCGGATGGGGTGGGAACAAAAAAGAATTTCTATACAGCGGCCCGTCGAGGTATTCTACACACAAAGGCTGAGCGTGCTCACTTCATCCCCGAGAGCACCCACCCCGTCTCCCCGCTGCACCGCGCGCCATACCTGACCCGACCCCGACAACACATCGTCCCTGCTTGCTCGCTCCAAGTGAACCAAATTCAACGCCTCTCCATTTGGCCCACTAAAGGTAGCGGTACTCGGGCTTGATGAAGTCGGCAAAGGTCTTGACATCCTCGTGGCCGTGGTGGTGGTCGTGGTGGTGGCCATCGTCCTGGGGACCGACGTACTCCATGTTGTAGACGCTGCCGCACTCGGGGCAACGCTCGATGGGGCGCTCGCGAGAGATCTAGTACACTTGTGATTAGCCATTACGTAGCGAGACGCATCGCTGCTCGATGTGTCACGTACCGTCAGCCACTTGACGACGTGGGAGTCGGCGGGAGAGCCGGTGCAGCCGAGGTACTGCTCGTCACCAGCGGAGCGGACGTTAATGGGGTTCTCCATGGTGCCTGTATAACCGGTCAGCAGCCGTTTCTGCCCAACAAGTGTCCATCGTAACATCACGTACCGGTGCGCGAGGCGTCGAGAGGGCGCATGTCGAAGATGTCGACACCCTCCATCTTTCCGAGAATCTCGAGACGCTCGAGACCAGTGGACTGCTCGAGATCGGTGGGGATGGAGCCGGCCTGGGCACCGGGGCCAATGAGGTCATCCTCAGTCTTCACCTCTGCGCAAAAAAAGGTAATGTCAGCTCTGTTCATCTTTGGATCGCCGAGGACATGGCGTGTGGAACGTGGTTGGCGACGCAAGGCTGTGGCCCGAATCGCAGTGCAGCCAGCGCCCGTCGCGCAACCACGAATTCCAGACCGTCGTGTCCTCAATTGATGTCGGCAGCAGTGGGAGTCTCACGAGAGAACGTCTTGGAAGGGTTGACGGCCCTGACCTCGGCGGCGGCAGAGGCAGACTTGACGGCGTCACCTAGAAAGCCAAAGAAAGCTTGGTTAGCCCAGCTGTTCCGACGTGGCGTGACGGCCCCCTTCCGGATCTGAAAGGAGGCCAATTGAAGTTCGTACGCTGGATGAAGGACGTCGTGAAGGCGCGCTTCGCCAGGGGGGCGACGGCCACGCGGCGGGCGGCGGTGATGGCGGATCGTTGGAGGAACATGGCGACGGCAATGGGTGGTTGTTGTTTCGCTGGATGACGCTGGTGAGAAGAGGGATTTGTCGATGGTCTGATTTGATGGTTTGATCTTGCTTGCTACGGCTGTCGCTCGGCCCGGGCAGGAGCAAAGCTAATGCACTAGCCCGGATTGGTGCAGTAAGCGACTCATCAAGTCACGTGCCGTCAGAACCCATCAACACTATTCCGGCGATAGACGACTTGGTCCGCTGTGCATAGCGAAGTGGCAGAAAGTGATGAACAGATGAGCAGTACCTTTTCGGCTCTTCATCTATGCAGAGCGACATTGCATAAGGTAGCTTATCTCTTTCGTCCATGCTTCCCAAATACCGGTTCGAACGTCTCAAGCTGTACATACATGTCTTCATACCTTAGGTACCTTACTCTACAATACACTTGAACCAGTCCTTGCCCAAACTCAAACAAACACGTATTTTCCTCGCATCACTCAAGCAACCAATCCCGACCAGACCTCAAATGAACCCTCAACCAAAACATGTACTCAATCGTGGAAATAATGTCGCAATGAACCACAGCAAGTCACACCATTCACGCATTCCGCCCGCCCAGGCCTCCGGATCCGCTGCCACTGCGCCGGTTCCTGTCGGGGGTCGTAGGTAAATCGGTACGCTGGCTGTGGCGCCAGCGTCGACTTTCACGGTCGCGGTTGATGTCGCCCCTGCGGTTGCGATTATTGCGGGCATACCTGTCCCTGGCAGACGAGCCGCGAGGCTGCACTTGAGCTCTCTGGTCGCGAGCGACTCGGGCCATCGAAACGTTCTCCCGCTGTCTCTTAGTTGGTCCGCGAACGTTACTGATTGCTGCAGTTCTTCGTCTAGTGAAAAGATCGGTCGTCGCCGGCTGTTGCGAAATCTGCGATGTGTTCTGACCACGAGCCACTTCAGGCCGAGCAGCTTGATTGACTTGGTCGAGCGAAAACGCACGATCACCTCGAGCAACACGCTCCATACGGCTGTGCGAGTGGGTGCTGACAATTTCGCTACTTTCGAGGAAAAGAGTTTCCTGATCGTCCATGACGTTGTCTTCGGTGCCGGCATGGTCGTGGCCCTGGGAAGTCTCAAAAAGGTGCATGAGTTGACCGTTTTCGCCCTCGCGTTCTTCCTCGATTTCCGCCTCGACAGAGCCTTGATCAACCCCTTCGCTTCTGTTCTGGCGCTTTTTCTTGCGACCAGAGTATAGCTTGCCCATGCCCTGAATCTTGGCGCCATGAATGATGACCTGGCGCATGAGGGGGTCTGTCCGTGTGGCCCACGTCGCGTTGCCAGGGGTGGTGTCATCGGGTCCTGACATCTGGAAGATCCAGCGGTACGTATGCTCGCCATTCGTCTCACGGTGCATCTTGAACGCTTCATCAAGTCTCTAGCGGATGAAATCGATCGGTGACATGTGGAGTCCGATGGCACCAGGTGCGGTGTCGTGGCGGATGGCAAGCAGCCGCATCAGCTTGAGGCAGATTGAGTACAGAAGCCAGCGCTTGCACAGACCTTGCTTGGGCATGAACTTCTTGGATATGAGCTGGTTGGGGTGAATGGTTACTCCTTCGAGAAAACACTTTCTGATCAGTCTGATCTCGCTGATGGCTGAGCTGAACTGCCGTTGCTCAAGTCTGAACTTTTCCTTTTCGTCAGCGGTGGCGGTTCCGGCGGTTGCCTTTTGACGACGCCATGAATCTTTCAGTTTGTCCCTCCAGTTTGAGATGGAGAAATCCGACGAATTGAGTGAAAGCCATTCGGGGTCCCAATAAGGATCGTCTTCTTTGATGGGCTTGATGGGCACGTCGCGGACGATACCTGGGCCCCTGAAGAGGTGCTTTGTGCTAGGGAGCTCTCCAGCACGCAGAACGCCAGACATGCAAAGTGCTTCCTCCAGAGTGGGCTCTCTGCCCTGCGTCTTGAATTCGGACCATTTCAGAGTTCTGGTGTTTGGCTGGATTGCACTGTGAATATCATGCTTGTTGCGAATGTCCACCAGTTTGGCCAAGTCTTGCCGTTTCTTGACGCTCAGTCCTTTGATAGCCATCTCAGCCTGCATCGCCTCGATGGAGTTGACGACACGCTGCAAGTCGTCGGCTTCAATGTCATCACGGCCCGATTCTGCCATGTTCATAATTCGAACGTTAAGGTTTGTGTTGCCAGGACCTGTCTCTTCCTCCCAAACATCCGATTTGAGGAGCGCCTGCGCGTTCTGGGGGAGTGCCCGACTCCCGCATTCTCCTTGGGGATCTCTGGACGGTGGCATGTTGGCCCTGATGTACCTTGATGATCTTTTCTTCAACGTCTTGAATTTTGAGCAAGACTTTTACGCGCTTGCGCGGTGCTGTTCGACTTGATGGGGTGTGGAAGAGTTGCGGTCGGACAAGAGTGGCATATGAAGAGTTCCAGCTGCGTTGCACGTCAGATGACTTCGCAATGACGTCCAAGGCAGGCACGTCAGGGACTCACGCCTTGTTCAAGCAATCCTTGTTCGACTTGTCCTTGAACTGCGGGCATAAACCAAACCGTAAAAGTTGTACCGGGACAGCGGGTGCTACGCGTGACGAGTAGAGGTCTGTGTCGAGATGCGGCAAAGCTTCAAAGAACCGGGGGGTGCCAAGGGTGACGATCTAACCAAGTATTTCAGAGTCACAGCTATGGCTGGTGCCTACATCGGCTGTTGGCAAAGGAGGGTTTGGCGGTCTTGTGGGCTCTGTTGCGTGGACAACTGGGTTTCTGGTGCCGTTGCTATCGACGCGTCAACGACGCGAGGTGCGCGCATCACAACATGCTTCTTTTTTCATGCACGTGATAATGTGGGATGAACTCGTTTGTAATGTGATGGCTTCATCTGTATTTACTTCCGTGCCTAGAAGGAGCCCGCGGAGAGCAAGATCGACTGCTAGTTGAGGAGCAGACTTGAATCGGTAGCCGGACCCTTTTGGCATTGCACACATACTTTTGGCGAGCCTCTTCATTCACATAGACCTGAATGCAGGTACGACTAGGATCGTGCGGGGTTTTTCTAACGCTTCACAGGGTATAACTGCTCGTTTTGAGTTCTACAAAGATGACCACCTGTAACTTGGCAACGACATGGGATTCGAGCCAAATGCTGGAAAGCTAACTCGTCCGAAAAAGTGTTGGCCAAGATATTGGCCCATCCACCTCTTTTGCCAGTTCGTATCAACTTCATGGGAAGTGGCAATTTATTACTTGGTCTAGTCGGCCACAGTTTCCATGCCAAACTACATCGCCAAAAGCTGCACGAACTACGTTGCAGATGGAGGAGACCAACGTCAAACTCGTGCTTTTAGTGAACCTGGTCCGTCCACCCTAATAGCGGTTGGAACTATAATCTTAGGTTGAATAGAATAAAAGTCTAACCCCCATGCTCATGCCTAGTCTAAAACGTCAGGCGCCTTCTCCTGACGAGCCCTTCACAGCATATATTGTTTCATATTTACCCCTCAGCATGGCACTTGGGTATCTCTCATGCAAACCGTGTCCATCCTCAAAACCCCTAGCAATGGGGCATGCCACAGCCACTCTCTCCCGAAAATCAGGCAATCTGCTGCACGAACTGCGGCCCAAACCCGGCCTCGCCAAAATTGGCCACGTCGACGCTCGCGACAGGCTTCTCCGTGAGCTCGCCCGTCGCCTTATTCCTCTCGAGCGCCAGCAGGCCCAGCCCCGAGTTCTGGTTCGTGCTGAACAGCAGCCCGCCGTCGGTGCTGAGGCTGAACATGCGCGGCACGCCGCCGGCGGAGCTGACGAGGCCGGCGAACTCAAGGACGGCATTATTGCTGCCGACCTTGTCGCCGCTCCCACAGGCGGAACCTTCCGGGGCGGCGACGCGGAAGTGGGCGATCGAGTCGGGCGCCGGCGCGGTGCCGGTCAGACGGTTGGAGACGTAAATGTCCTTGCCATTGTCGCTGATGGCGATGGCGCCGGCGAGGGCCGAGGTGGCGTTGTGCGGCGTGTTGCCAAAGGTGCTCAGGCTCTGGACCTCGGCGAACTGGATGCCGTCGTCGGCGTATGTGACCTCGAAGACCTCGAGACGGTTGAGGAGCTCGCACACGAGGACGTAGTGCGTGGCCCTGGTGCCGTCGGCCGAGGGCACGAAGACGCCGTGACGAGGCCCGCAGCCGGCATTCTTGACGCGGACGCGCGTCGCGATGTCGTACGAGTCGGCGGCCGAGTCGAGGAGGAGCACCGTGTCGGTGCCGAGGTCGTTGGCGGCGAAGTAGCGGCCCGAGGGGTCGCGGACGACCTGATGGACGCGAGGCTGGTCCTGGCGCGCCTTGTTGGGGCCTAGTTCACCGTCCGACGTCACTGACTTGAGGAGGCGCAGTGTGCTGTTGGCGATGTCCCAAATGTCGATCTTGCCGTCGACATAGGAGCCGGCGACGAGACGGGTCTGATCAGTGCTAAACTCGAGGTGGACAACACCGGCCGAGCCGGCCGCGCTCTTGTCCAGCTTGATCTCGTTTCTAGCAGCGTTGTACTGTGACATGGTCAGTGAAGTTCCGCAACACGACATGATGCGAGGCCACTCACCTTGAAAATGCGCAGGTCCTTGCCGTTCTCATCAACTGCGTAGATGGTGTTGGGCTCCTTGAAGGCCATCCAGCTGGGGCTTGTACCAGGAAGGGAGTTCTTGGCCTTGAGGTCAAACGAAGTGCCGTCAAAGTCTGCGACAATGATCTGGCCTGGGCCGCCGATGAGGACCTTGGAAGCCGGGGTCGCCTCTTGCCTCTTGGCGGGGATGCGAATGGTGGCAGCCGAGGCGGCAGCCGCGCGCGAGCAGGGAGAGTCCGACTGACAGGCGCATGTCGGATGAGGTGAATGCCTAGATTTGAATGCTAAGATTTGAAGGCGTTCAGCTTAGGGATTTCCTATTTGTTGATCTGCTCTGGAAGAGAAAACGCAGGTGTCGGGGTGTTTTGAAGACGCTGTGGTCTGCTGGGACGTAGTCGAGTCGAACGAAATGCCGGCGAAGCAGGTCAAGTTGGATGCCAAGTCAAAGACTCATATAAGAGCACAACCGACGAGGCTCTGTACACAAGGGGAAGGGGCAGTGAGTCGCAATAAATCAATCTGATTGTCCCGTGTAACGTGAGTAGGACAGGGGAGGGGCGCTGAGAAAGGATTCTAAAAGAAGCACGCTGAAGGAAGCAATGCTGGGAAGGCAATGCTGGAAGGCGGAGCAGCTTCTGCTGACGACACGGGACCGGACGTTATAGACAAGGTGCTAGCAATTCGCAAGGAATGATGGGCCAAGGGGACTTTCTCTCTGGCTCTGACTCTCCTCTCTCTCTGACACGCAAAAGAAAAGAGTGGCCCGTCAAGGACTCAAATACTCTTCCATCAGGCTCCAGTCACCTTCACTACTCCCTTTAGGGGGGCAACCCCTCCCTCGGTCATCATCGCCATCAGGGTCGTACCAGCATCGGGGCTTCCACGGCCATCGCCAGGGTATGGAAAGGCTAACAAGTCATGTTCGTTGGGCATGCCAGTCTGAAAAGGCATCGTCGCGGCAGACCTCATCAAGGCCAAACCCGTTGGCCGACAGAGAAGGGAAAGGATGCGCAGTCGTCCTCCAACCGCAAGCCCTGGAACCCCCCGCGGGTGGCCCCAGAAAGCCCCGAATGCCCCGCGCCCCTAGCCCCTGTAAAATGGAGTCGTCCGAGAGAGGAGGAAAGCCTGTTCCTGCATGGCCACCCGCTGTTCTCTCGACCTGTCGTCTCGTCGTGCCAACAGGGGCAAGCCTTGGGCGGTAAAGCCGGTCGCCAGCGTCGGATTAACCGTTGGCATGAAGGCCGCAATCGGGAGCCGCAGTCGCGGGGGGCGCAGGCAGATCGAGTGGATGTCGGTGGCCTTCGATCAGCGGCGATCCAAGCCCCCATCGCATCCTCCCTCCCTCTCCGATCTCCCCTTCATCCGCCGCCGCACCCCTTGGCCAGCTATGTGTGAAGTTTGTCAGTTGGTCCCAGCTCGGGCCTTACAGCTCACGTTGGCTGTTTCGAAACGAGACAGCGGCATGCGGGTTCTGACCCTGATTCTAAGCCCAGCCCCTCGTTCTTATTGCATCATGAGTTGGCAAAACCCATGTTCAGTCTGCTTCTCGTAGTACATCATCGGATTATAGGTAAGCCTCGTGTTTGGGAAATGCTTGGATGAGTCCAGCCATCCTCTCACCAGGACTTCGTCGGAAGCTTGGCTGGCCGTTGCTACTCTCACTGTTTTTCGCCAGCCTCCTCCTACCCATTAGACAATTCAACCTCCCTCTTTCCATCCCTTCTCCCAAGCAAGGTCTGTCTGCCTGATGCAAAGAAAGGTGAAGGAAAAAGACCGCCCGCCGCGCTTCTCATATCCGCCATGCACGCGCCGAAATCAAGCCCCTGTACTCCTGTGCTGAACGCCGAGTGGCCTAACCGCGCTGATGGTGTTGGCGCACTCTCAATGCAGTCGTGTGTGTGTATACATAGTCGTGTCAATGGGAGACTGCGGCTCCAAGACATCATTCGCCCTTTCTCGTTGGATCATCTGAATAGGCCGCATACTAAGGGGCCGCCCAACCGCCTGCGACGTCGACCCATTCTGCGAGGCACGATCCGTCCTTGCCCTCGACGTCGACAATGTCTGTATCGCATCGGCAGCGACAGCCCACGCCGTTTTCCTTCTCCGCATCCCATGACTCCCAGTACGCGTCTTCTTCGATGCGCTTCTTCTCGTCAAGCGTCGTCATCTCGAGGTACTTTTCTCGTGGCAGCTGCCTTGCCGGCGCATTGGCCGGACAGTGCTGGATCGTTGTGTGCCGATACCCAAAGTCTCGGAAGTAATGAATGTCGCCGGGGCCCAAGAGAGCACCGGCGGCGAGGGAGTGGATGGGTGCATCACCCCACTGCAATTGCCGTCAGCTTGGCTTCCATCGCATGGCCGCATGGCATAGCAGACTTACCCGTTCCATCCAGAAACCCCCGCTGCGGTCCATTGTCTGGAAAAAGTCCTCGTACTCCTGACTCCGGAACCAGCTGAGCCGTGCAATCTCGAAGTTGGACCAGAAATGACACATGTTGTAGCTCTCGCCCTCCATGGACTCATCGTCGACAATGGGCTCCTGGCTCTTGTCTTTGGTACCCTTCTTCAGTATGTCCTCCGGCAGATTCTTGGGCTTCGAGGTGTCGGGCTCGGTCTCCTCGATCGGCTCGACAAACATCTCCCAAAGCCCCTTGGACTTGAGACCCTTCTTTCGCTTGTATGCCGAGGCGTAACGGAAGATGTTGGGAACGGTCTCGCGGAGCTCCTTGACGGCGATAGTGAACCCGTACGTCTTGTTGGCGGCAATCATCTCCAGGAACGGGTCACTACCTCGTGTTAGTATGCCGCGGCACGAGCATGAGAGGCTCGTCGGAACGTACTAGGTGATATCGCAGAAGTAGCTGATCTCTGGCTCGAGTCGCCAGTACCACTCGTACTTCTGCAGCAGCTCGTGCTTGTAGAAGAAGCTGGAGTTGTAAGCGGGGGGCCTTGATGCATGACGCACGCGCGTAGCTTACCCAGAGTAGAAGCGGCACATTGCGTGATAGCTCTCCATGCCTCCGTACATCACAGCATTGTCGCCCTGCTTGGCAATGCCCTCCTTGGCCACCTTGGGATCGATCCAGTCGGGGAATCCCCACATCTCCGGACCGACCTTGCCAAATTCGACGGTCCCTGACGTGTAGTTTGTGACGGTCTCTTTGAAGGTCGAGTTGAACTCGTCGTCGTTGAGGAAGACGTAGGGGTAATGGTACCACCTGTTGAAGTGGCGCTCGATGGACTTGATCGACTGGACCACTCCGTCCAACTCCTTGTTGCGGGCCAAGACGACAAAGGCAGCATTGGCGCGGGGCTTGGTGGTATCGGGTTCGAGACATCCTGTAGCAAACACCTTGTCGTACTTGTCGCTGATGAGGCTGCGAGGAACCATGTTAGAGGAGACGTGAATACAGTCACCGAGACCTTTGAGCCACGTACCGTATCGATGGAGGCGCACCTGCCGGCATCAATATCCTCCCAGGAGAGTTTGGATGCATGAAGAAGAGCATGAGGATCAGTATGAGGACGATGGCGGGGAAAACGACAACGACGCCAAACGGGATAGAGATGTTCGAATTCCCGCGAACGCGCATTGGTTTCCTGAGGAAAGCATAACGCGAGTCTTGTTTGCTCGGACGAAACGGTTTTGAGATTTTGTCGTCTGCCACCGGAAGAGGCGACGCCCCGGACGACCTGGACTTACCAGCCCGCCGGAAGAGGTCCATCTTGGTGTTTGTCGACGAGATGCCGGGATGGGGAGAATGGTATGAGTTCGGACGAGCGTAAATGCCAGGTGTTATTAAGCGGCAGTCTCGCAGCGGTGGGGGTTCTCTTTGCTAAGAGAGGAGCCGTTGTGCGATCGTTGTGAGTGTATGGCTTACGAAGACGTTGATGGCGAGACCCAGAGGACGGTATAGAGACTTGTCATCGGCGGGGGTAGGAGTAGGGTAGAGAAATCTGTTTCTTCGATGATCGGATGTCGAACCGGCTTGATCAGGTCGAACAATCGGAAGTTGGGAGAGCTGGTCGAAAGAGCGTCAGGGAATTCTCCCAGGAGAGGCGATGGTGTGCTCGCGATCGTGGAAGTCGCGGCGACAGGCAAGAGACCGGTGAGAAGCTGTAGTGGCAGGGCACAGCGGTCGGTGCGATCGGACTAGGAGGGATGGCACTTCGATAATGCTATGCGTAGAGGCAGATTCGCAGCCACGCGTATCAGGTCATTGGTGTCGAAAAAGGCAATCTGGCCCTCTGACGATCGTCCAAATTGGTGGTCGGCTCGAGAGAAGGAGGCCGAGAAGGCACCTTCGACATGGCATTTCAATGCCCCTGTCTAGCCCCTGCCTCCTGCTCCTGTCGAAAGAAACATTAAACTTATCATGGCCAATCAGGCGGCTTCAGGAGATCAGGTGGGGACGGGCATGAGCAATGGTGGGGCGCAACTGCCAAGTTTTGTCTCGGGTCTGGTCTAGATCCAGGGTCGCCGGTACGTACCCTTTGACATGGTCTCGAGATCCTTGACCCCGTACAGTCAAGCCGTTTCTGCAGTCCATCGTCCACAATCATCCGCTGATCCCAATATTCAGCATGATCAGCATCATGCATAGGTGCTTGGAAGATTCTGTGCCTCGCCCATGGCATATTCGCAAGGCGCCCCACTGCTTCTACTGCGGCCGAGGAGCCGATGATCAAGGGTTACTCCCAATAGAGGTGATGGATGCATGTCGAACGCACATCAACCAGTGGGGGCAATAAAGACACCAGAAGCGACAGAGGCAGAAGATGCAGAACATTATCATGCTGTAAGGATGAAGGCTTGCTACAACCTCTCTGCTGACTATTCGCCATGTATTCCTCGTCAGGACCCATGGCTCATCGAAAACGTCCTTCAAGACGAAGACGGGCTCCCGATAATCATGCATGTTCTGACACACAGACGTGCGAATGCCGTCCCTACCCAAGATCTCCAACAACTCTCTCCAGCTGCCAGATTCTACCAGCTGGGATCCGCCTGATCCGTGACGGCGCCGTGGCTCGCATCACCCACAAGACGCGCGTACTTGGCCAGCGCGCCCCTCCTGACGTGCGGCTTGGGCGGCTTCCAGTCCTTCCTCCTCCTCTCCATCTCCTCCTCGTCGACATCAATCATGTCGATCCTGTTCGTCTCGGCATCAATCGTCACCCGGTCCCCGTCGCGCACGAGCGCAATCGGTCCGCCGACGGCCGCCTCAGGCACGACGTGGCCGACGATGAAGCCGTGCGACGCACCGCTGTAACGACCATCGGTGACAAGGGCCACGTTGGTCAAGCCGGCGCCCATGATGGCGGCACTGGCGCGCAGCTGCTCCGGCATGCCTGGGCCACCGCGCGGGCCCTCGTACCGCACAATGACAACGAGGTTGCCGTCGTCTCGCTTGATGGAACCCGAAGAGAGCGCCGTGTCGAGCTCGTGCTCCTTGTTGAAGACGCGCGCCGCGCCCGTGAACGAGAGGCCCTCCTTGCCCGTGATCTTGGCCACGGCGCCGCCGGGCGCCAGGTTCCCGCGCAGCACGCGGATGTGGCCTGTTGCCTTGATCGGGTTCGAGAGCGGGCGGATGATCTGCTGGTTGGGGTCGAGCGACGGCCAGTCGGCCACGTTCTCGGCCAGCGTGCGGCCCGTCACGGTCATGATGCTGCCGTCAATGTACTGGGCGGCGACGAGCATCTTGAGCACGGCAGGCGTGCCGCCGACCTTGTAGAGATCCTCCATGTAGTGCTTGCCCGACGGCGCGAGGTCCGCGAGGAACGGCACGCGGTTGCTGGTGCGGTCGACGTCGTCCAGCGTCAGGGGCACGTCGGCCGTGTTGGCCATGGCCAGGAAGTGGAGCACGCCGTTCGTCGAGCCGCCGAGGATCATGGTCAGCACGAGAGCGTTCTCAAAGGCGGCGCGCGTCATGAGCTTGCGCGGGCGGAGATCCTTCTCCATGACAATCTTGATGGCCTCGGGCCGCACGCTCGCACTCGCGTGCCTTTTCCGGTGACGTCGCCCGGTACGATGACGAGCCGGGAAGCGAAAGGCCCATGGCCTCGATGGCTGTCCCCATGGTGTTGGCCGTGTACATGACGCCGCAGGCGCCGGCGCCGGGGCACGCGTGACGCTCGATATCCTCCATAACATCGGAAGAAGTACGGCCGGGCTCTCCCGGGTTGCACTTTGCATTGAGACGCCCATATGTGTAGGCGCCGGACGCCTCGTAGCAGGTGCTGATATTAATGGAACTCTCGAGCAGCTCCGAGTGTCCCTTCATGATGGTGCCGCCGTAGATCATGATGAACGGCCGGTTGTGACGCGCCGCCGCCATGACGACACCGGGCATGTTCTTGTCGCACCCAGGGATGGAGATGTTGGCATCGTGATGCTGGGCGCACGTGACCGACTCTATGCTGTCGCAGATGATTTCTCGCGTCTGCAGGGAAAATCGCATGCCCTCACCACCCATGGTGATGGCGTCTGACACGCCGATCGTGTTGAACTGCCATCCGAGGAACCCCTGCTTCTCGACGCCCCTCTTGACGATCTTTCCAAAGTCGAGGACTGCCCGTGCAACGTTAGCTCTCGTGATTACGGGTTTCGCGGGTCGGCCGAAGCAGCTTACGATGCGTACTGTTCAAAACAACGCCCTTCGGTCAGCCAAGCGTCCGTAAGAAGAAAAAAACGTGCATGCCACGGAGGGCCGGGGAGAGGAAACCTACTTGCAGGGGTTGCCCTCCCACCAGACCGTCGCAATGCCGACATGGGGCGCATTCTTCATCGTGTCGCGGTCCGGCACGCCCGCGCCGTACAGCATGGCCTGTGTTTTCCCCCCCATTGTCAGCGTCCCGTTGTCGCATCGTAGACCCCGCCATGTCCACCCCGCACTTTTTGGGTCGGGGGAAGTTCCTCGTCGCGTATCGAGCTTGGAAGACATGTGTCCCACCGTTCGCCAACAGCTGAGAGCAAAGCTGCGGCGAGCGGTCGACGACACCATGGCAAAAGAGTGCACTTGCTGCCGAGTTCATGAGAAAACAAATAGGAGGTCCTACCTGAGCGCCGGGGAAATCATGCCCCCTGGTGATCTTCTGCGACCAACGGTTCAGCTTGCCGCCGGCGGGCAGCGACTCGAATTGCAGGTAGTCGGGGCTGTCCTGCTGGTCGGCAGCATCGGTGGCCCGGACGGGTTTGCTTTCGTTGGAAGCCATTGCAGTGGTTCAGGGCGCTCGAACTTGGGCTGTTGGTTCGGACGTCGTCAAAGGCAATCGAGACCGGGTCCTACGAGAGGGGGGAGAGAGAGTGTGTGTAGCTGGTGAAAGAAGCAAAAGAAGAAAGAGTTTAGCCATGACCTCACAGAGAGAGGGGCAGTAACAAGAAGAGGGGAGGGCGGAAAGGAGTGCGGGCCGGGACAGCAAGCTTGCCTTTATGGATTGCACGAGGCCCGCCCCCCTTCCCCGAGCAGCTAGAAAGGCGAGTTCCAGAACGGCAAACAAGACAAGTGTGAAGACGTCAGTCAGTCAGTCAAGGTAGATAGATGGGCAATCGCAAACGAGCGCGGGGCGCACTCCGGGGTCAAGCGGCCTGTTACCCCATCCTCCCACGCCCCGCTAAGCAGAAGCAGAGCCCGTTGGCGCGCATACCCTTACCCTTCTGCCCCTAAGAGAGCACTCAAGAGATGCATCACCAGTCAGGGCCAGGCTGATGGTCAGCGGGTAGTGCGCCCTTGATGGGCATTTTGGGGGTCATTAGGGCGGGAGGGGGGGGGGCTCTTCCGAACCGGTGCACCAACTCGCAGCGATCAGCGGGGGCCCAACCCTTTTGACTCGCAAAAACACAGGCGGGCCTTGCCGCCCGTGGAAAAGCACTATTAGCCGGCTCCGGAGGGGCAGGGCCTTCGGCATGCGGGATGCGCGCCATGCGGCGGAAAGGGGGTCGAGGTGGCTTTCTGGTAGGGTCATGAGGACCCGGCCCGGCGGACGTAGGCCGGGCCTAGATGCTGCATCTGCTGGCTCTGTCGTGTGTGTGGCCGTTCGGAAACGCCCAACGCGGGTCTCAGCAGCGGGGAGAAGCCCGAGGCTATACTACTCAGCCTATTTGTGACTGTGCATGCCCGGGCTTTTCGGGTCGAAGGCGAGCGAGAGGATGCAGTGTCGCATCGTCACAGCGTCGCAGCGTCGCAGCGTCGCAGGGCTACAGTGTTTCAAGTCCTCTCATGTCGCCCCGCATAGAACTCTGCAGGATGGGGCCGTTTCCGAGTGAGGGACTGGTGTTCCGGTGCCTCCACTGAAGCGTTTTGATATCCTGCTGTCTGTTCATCGAGACGCCTATTTCAAGCGCAATACTACACGAGCTGACAGACAAAGGAGCGGCCTATATTCAGAATAGGAACGCAAGAAAACCCGCTGCCAGTCTCAACCCAACCCCAAAGGCACTATGGTACATGATTCTTAAAATCAGTGTCATGGATGGCTGGGAGGGGGAGGGTTTGACCCCGCCATCCGCCGCGTCGTCTTGTCCACAGGCGAGACAGCTGTGAAGATAGGATGACAGTCACTGCCGACATTCACTTTCACGCAAGGCAATATGGTAGCGTGCTCCTGTTGCTCAAGTTCAATTGCACGCCATCGGTGCTTGACCAGTCCTCGCCAACCTCGAGAACGCAGCCCGGATGATGTAATGTACAGAAGCGCAGATCGTGTCTTGCGAGTGTGGTTTTCGTCACTTCGTCTCCGTTGCAACGGGGTTGTGGTTGAAAGAAATCAAGCAAAATCTCCAAAGACGGCCGCACCGGAGTTGCCCGCTCCCTTCATGACCGAGTCACCTCGCGTGCTGGGCAGGCCCTGACAGACCAAGCTTGAAAAGCTCACTCCAAGGAGCATCTCGGCTCCCAAACCATCGTGGCAGAGCAATCCGTATTCCTTTTTGCAGCTCTGACTGTCAGCAACAAGCTGCCCCCGGTGCGCCGCATACATCAAGCACTTTCACCCCTTTTCAATCCCTTTCCGAATGCTCAGTTTCCCTTAGGACAAGAAAAGAAATGTGTGAAGCGAATGGAGAAGGAGAGTTGTTCGTGTAAATCAAAATCGTCATCGGATGATAAAAGGAAAAGCGCAAGAAGCGGCCGTGCGAGCGTCAAGTGGTTGATCCCAAACTTGTCGAGTTTCGCGTACATCCCTGGAACCAAAAGAGCAACAACCGTGGACTGGGTTAAGAAACAAAGAAAGCAAAGAAAGAGAAAAAAGGGAACAAGAAAGCGGCTATGTTATACACAAGGCGAAGAAGAAGACGGGCGAGCCTCAGCGGGTGTCGCTTGATGTACGAGTTGGTGGCACTGTCCCAAGCATTCACGCATTGGTGGAAACAGTACCCGTCCTCTCCTCCTCCATCCTCCTGACCATCTCACGCTCACGAGGCGATCGAGGGTTGGCGTCAATGCCGAGGATGGCTGCGATACGTGTCTTATCTTGTTGCACCCGGCCATATGCATCCCGCTCCAGGTTATCTGGGCTGGACAAGGGGCTGAGAGGAGCTGTGGCCGGGTGTTGCTGGCAGCAGAGGCCTGCTTTCCAGGCCTGTTCGAGGCTTGCAGGCGTCGCTCCGTTGCCGTAGTCATTGGAGATGGCAGCCCAGAACGAGCCGCGGTGGGCAGCGTACACGGCGTGCAGACGCCCCATATCGACAGTCGAGTGGCTAAGGGCCGACTGCAGAGGCGGCAGAGGCGAGCAGTCAAGGCGCAGCGGCGGCGTCAGTGGCTGGTTGTTGGCCATGCGAGAGAAGGTAGCGGAAGGATGGGCGGCGCTGTTGGGGGTGGGCTCTGTAAGAGGAGTGGGGTAGCCCCGGGGAGGTGATGTGGTTATCGGAGGCAGCGTCATGGCGACGGGTTTTGGGAGGATGGCCGGAAGCCTGGGGGATGTGCTATGGTTCAGGATACTAGGCAGCTGGACAGGAGCAGGCGAGGATGGGCCGTAGCTCCCCGCACTGCCGGGTGGTGTGACTGTGCGCGGAGTAGGCTCACGGATGGGCGAGGGCATGGTCGTGCGCAGGATGGGCGACTGATTCGCCGACGATCCGGAGGACACCGAAGTGGCCCGCTGCTTACGCCGGTTGCTCCCGTGGCTGAGCTGGTGGTAGTGCAGGCGGCAAGCAAGCTCCGTCTTTTTCAGGTGCGCGGCAATGTGCTTGTAGGGCATTTTCTGGAGGCGTGTCTGAAGAAGGTAGACTTCCTACACATCACATCACTATTAGTCCGACTCGGCTATACACTACGGTGTTTAAGAACCCACCTCATCCTCGCTCCATGCTCGGCCACCGCCAGTGGAGGTTGCCTTACGGGTCTTGGTGACACCGTAGTCGTGTCGGTCCATGGCATCCGAGGTAGGCGTATACCTGGTGGTCGTAGGTGCCAGTTGCATGGTGGGGGACATATTGGCTATGGAGGGGTTATATATCTCTCCACGTAGATGAGGATCCAGCTCGGAAGAATGAGAGGAAAACCCGTCGGTTGATGCCCAAGTTGTCGCCGTGGGAAAGGTCGTAGAAGAGTTGGGGGTGGCGCTGAGAATCACAGTTCTCGCTGCTCTGATCGAATCGAAAATGGCTATGTTCTTAAAACAGGCCGTCTTTGTGAAAATGGGAATCTGGTGTACCACACAGTCTCTTGGACGCGAAGGGTCTCTCAAACAGCAGTTGAATGGGCGAGGGTCGGCCTAGGCGACTCAATGATTCTTCTTGTTGTAGCGGTTAGGCACTGCCGGAGAAGAATGAAATGGATAAACCGGGATCCAGGAGAAGAGAAAAGCAGTCAAAGTTTGTATGTTCGTTGTGGTGATGGTAAG